ATAGGTTTAATATGTCAAACACATTCTTTACAACCTCTTCTTGTATTCTACCTATTCAAAATACGATCATGGCATCTAACTATTTCATAATTAAAAAAAAAACATTGTTTTAGCTTAAATGAGTCTTTGCAACCTTGCCGGTAACCCTTTTGTCATCATGTCCGCAGGTTGTTCGACGGACAGTACGAACTTGAGAGTGATGGAACCATCCTTTATCAAATCCCGCAGGAAGTGGAACTTTACGTTGATGTGTTTGACCCGTCCGAAGGCCTCCGATTCCTCTGCGATCCTCATAGCAGACTGATTATCTTCGTAAACGCAGAACGGTTCCTTGCTCCTGTATCCCAAATCGTGCAGAAGACGGCTCTCGTGGCAGGCCACCATGCAGAGGGCTGTCAGATCTGCCTCGGTCGTTGAGAGAGCGACGATTTGTTGCTTCTTGGTGAGCCAGCTGACTGTATTTCCGAACACCTTAAACACACCACCGCTCACGGAACGATGATCAGAGGAGTCGTTGGACCAGTCGGCATCCGAAAAGACCTCCAACAGCGGCGCTGCTTTATTCGCACGGTAGACCAGGCCGAAATCGAGCGATCCCTTGACGTATCGCAGTATCCTTTTTAGATGAGTCCAGTGTTCATTGCTGGGGCAGCTCTGCAACTGCCCGAATAGAAATTTACATTAGCCCAACGTTTGATTTTGATGTCTACATCAGCATCGAAATCAAATGTATGCCTGATGATGCCATGGCTATATAGCGCACACTACTGCACCATTTAAATCGAACGAGTGCGAGCAAGAGGGAAACAGATTAGTGGGAAAACAAACCGTGCATTCATCTATGTGTGCTAGATAGAGAAAGACTACTAAACGTCAAAAAGGTCTATAGAAGCTCACTGCCACTGTCAGATCCAGTCTAGTGGTTAGGGCTGCGTATGACAAACAACCAACTAGTTCCCTGAACGGCTGCGCGGTTCGATTTTGTTCGTTCCCTTTCAGGAGGTTCTCGATGGGCGTTAAGCACGGATTGCAGTCCTCCATTTTAAAGCGTTTCAGGACGTTCTCCAGATAGTGTCGCTGAGTTTTCTTCATCACACCGCCAGCTCGATCGTAGATAACTTGCAGTCCCAGAAAGCACTTGATTTTACCGATGTTCTTCGTTTCGAATTCCTTTGAGAGACAGTCCTTCACCATCAGCGACGCTCCGGCAATCAGTATGTCGTCCACGTAAAGAACCATAATCACCCTAATCGCTCCGGATCCGCGAGTGTACAAGCACTGGTCGTTGGCGCTTTGCTTGAAGCCAAGATGGTTCACCACGAACTTGTGAAATCGACTGTTCCTGGCACGAGATACCTGTTTAAGACCATAGAGGGATTTTTGCAAACGGCAGACTAGGTTCTTTCCTTTTTTGTGAACCCCTCCGGTTGCGTCATAAAAATCTCCTCGGTGAGCGACCCGTTCAAGAAGGCGGTAGAAACATCCATTTGGCTTTCTATCTCCTGGCAGCTTGGTCAAAGTCCAAGTTTCGTTCTTCGTGTAGGCTTCTGTTTCCTCGTTGACCGCAGCTTCCCACTTCAACCAGTTTTTCCGTGCTTTCGCTTCGGCCAGCGTCCTTGGAAAATCCTCGACGTATTCTGTGGCGCTCTCGGTGGCGCTCCATATCATAGTCAGTTTGCCACGCCGGTGGTTTCCGCTCACGAACTGGTCGACCGGAGCTGATGGGTTCCGCTGGATCGTGCTCGCCATCGTTGTTCGAACCGGATTCCAATTCCGCTCCAGTGTGGTCTTCTTCGAAGAAACTCTCGTACTCCGACACCGATTCCACTCTGGAACCACCTGCTCACCCGTATCCGGAACGTCCAATATTGCATCCGGTGCCTGGTTCCACCAATTCGTATTGTTCATGATCGGCCGCAACAATGGAGAGAACATCTCGCTCACCGCCACATCCAGGAGTATTTTCCCAACCCATGGACTCTACAAAATCGACGTCACGAACGTGCATAATCTGCCGCTTCGTCGGGTGCCACACTCTATAGCCGTTGTGAGCATAGCCTAGGAATAGCCCTTTCCAAGATTTAGCGTCCAACTTACCTCGTTGCTCTTTTGGAATGTGGACGAACACGAAGCAACCGTTTCTGGACGTCCGGCTTTGATCCTTCCCACAGCTGGTACGGAGTCATATTGGGATCGATTGCGCTGGAGGGGCTACGGTTCTGAAGATTGGCTGCAGTCTGTACGGCATAACCCCAGAAGCTGAGCCAAAGCCGTTTCTTCGGGACCTTCTGGTCTTAGAGTTACCAACCGGTGAACACTCGTGTTTATTTCAGTTACCATGGAGACGTAATTTGTGATTAGCCCCGGTCCCTTTCAAATTGTATCATTATTTATGAACGGCCTTATATTTGAAATGACGTTCCACATTCATCTAGTGATGTCCGATTTTCATTCGAATAATCGTTTAATCGATTAACGAACCGAAAAGTAAACTATTTATAATCGGTTAGATCATGCCAATATAAGCATTAACATCTCCACAGAATCATCACCGATCGTTTCAAACATGTGCTGCACTCTCATTCGTGGAAAAATCGCAGCACAGCGAACAAAAAATAATCGATTAGTTGTTAATCGAGTAATTAAAAAATGGGACACCTCTGATTTTGGTGTGATTGTTTTGATAAAAATGAGCGCAAAATTTCATCTCTTCCGAGGGGACAGCAAAACCACAAAATTACCTTGAATACGGGGGGTTCTCATTGGATGAAAGGGACTGTGAAAGAAGACACTAAAATAGAAAGTTTTTCTTCCGACAGTTTCATCTTAGTATTCATCTTTGGAGTTACCTCTATGGTTATATGTTGCTACAACCACCGACAAACCGACATGAATGACCATAGCAAAAACAATAAAATTTCTAACCAAGGCACACTACTGACATCTGGCTCCGTGTTCGCCGGAAATATTTAGCTAAGCCATGCAAAAGTTATGAATTGGTTCGTGTCTGATCTATTTCGGACAAATTATTTTTATCTAGATCAAAAACTCCTATGGTTTTGACAGTTCGGATCACTGCACATCGAAATCAGCCGTTTACGATTTTCGGGCATAATTTAGAATTAAGTGTCATGTCGGTTTGTCGGTGCTAAATCTATTAGTTGACAGCTCACCCCCATACCGAGGGGCGATAACATGATGATTTTTGCTAATATAATCGCGCTTTTTTAAAATAGTTCCAGTGCTCCAAAATCGATGAAATTTTCGACTTCGGTCACCGACAAACCGACATGAATGACCATAGACTTCTCTGACGTTTGTGAATTGCAAAGTTCTGCACTAATCTTTGGGTAAATTCAAAGTTTTTCTTGCACTAATACTTATAATTTACCCCGAGTTCCACACTAATACTTGTGCATTTTACAAACGTCAGAGAAGTCTATAGAAATTTTCACGAAAATTTTGTTCAAAGCACACTACCGACATCTGACTCCGTGTTCGCGAAAAACGTTTATCTAAGCCTCGAAGACGAGTGCAAAATGTATGAGTTGCTCCGTGTCTGTTCTATTCTGGACAAGTTATTATTATCTAGATGAAAAGCTTCTATGGTTTTGACAGATGAGATCGCAGCACATTTGAATCGGCCGTTATAGATTATCGGGCGAAAGTTAAGTTTAAGTTTCATGTCGGTTTGTCGGTTCCATTTTTAATGCAGGTTACGAATATGTATTGGCTCTGGCTTTGACAGTTCGTTTGGCTCAAAACCAACCAGTCCGCTCCTCTCTAGTTCGAACATTAGTAGAGAAATCACCGACATGAATGATCATACAAATTACAAAGAAATTTCTGATCAAAGCACAAAACTGACATCTCAAGAGCCACATGTGAAAGCTTTTTGTAAACTCTTTTCTCGTCAACCGAGGGTCGCCCACACAAACCAACAACATCATCGGAAAGGGGAAAGTTCTCCCTACCCGGTGAGGTTTCTGGTTTGCTTTGTTGTCATATGGGTGGCGAGAAAAGGACATAAGAAGGTTTGTTTACAAAAAAGCTTTTATGCCCTTTTCACATGTTGTTCTTGATCTGACAACGTGTTCGCGGAAAATATTTGTCCTAGCCACGAACACGCGTACAAAATTTATCAGTTGGTTCGTGTCTAATCTATTTCGGACAAATTATTTTTATCTAGATAAAACATTTCTATGGTTTTGACAGATGGGATCGCTGCACATTTGAATCGGTCGTTATGGATAATCGAACAAGAGTTAAGTTTCAGTTTCATGTCGGTGGAGGAATTCCACGGCATTTCCAGAAAACTTTTAAGGTAAATTGAGAGTACAGGGGTGGAAGGGTTTCCGGGGCACGTCCAAGAACCTTCCAATGCAAGCCTAGATTATATCATAGCTTCCTTATTTAACATTCCTAGACCATTGGGGTCATTTTTGGCCTGGAAACACTGTGTATTTTCCCCTAATGCATTAGGAAGGTTAAGATATGTTTAGAATGCTTCCAGATCATGTGCTTTCAGGGCATGTTCAGAGAACTCCAAATAAATGATAGATAACTACCCCCAGAACAAGTTCGAAGTACTAAAGTTCTAAGCATTTCTAGAGCTTTATCAATAGACTTTCGAGGAAAACCAGCACTTGGTTTGATCCTAAATGGAATATATTTTAATATATAGGGGAAATGGATGTAATGTCGACCTAAATGCCCCTAATTTGGGTCCATGCATAAATTCAGCAATCGACTAAATTTTCAATAGCGACCAAAAATATCCATCAGCACCGTCCCATTGACGCGTTCATCTATATAAAATTGATAAGTAGCAGATTTTTAGCGATGGGCCCAATCCTAGATCCATAGGCCAACAATAGAGCCATTTCCCCTATTATTATAAATTTCTATTAGGTCCACAAGATGGTGCATAATTCAATTTGTAAATCTCCCACTAAGTGGTACTAAATGTTAAATCCTAGATGAACGGTAACAGCCATTCTTCGTTGCATAGCTTTCGGATCGCTCTCAACCAGCAGCAGTTTATAATTCCGCAAAAATCCATTTATTTCCTAAAAAACCACCCATCTAGAAATCCAACTTACTTTTAACACCACCGCCCGAGCAACTCATCGTCTGCACCAGCTTCTGGCCGCGCTCGTCCTTATCGTCGCCCAGCTCCGGCGGCAGATGCAGCTTTTCGATCGCAAACTTCCTCCGGCGCAGCTTGAAGGCCAAATCCCGTGTCTCCGGAACGAAGCCGGCCAGCGTGTTGAGGGCGGAAATCTTCACCAAACCCAACAACCCATGGTACTCCTTGAAGATCGGATTCGTTTCCTTGTCCGAGCCGGCAAACGACTCCAGCGCGATGCAAAAGTCCAGCTGATCGACGAGGCGATCGTACAGGCGGTTGTCTTCCAGGTGGTGAAAGAGATGGGTCGGAAGAGTGATCAGGCAACAGGATAGGGTGTTTCGGACGATGGATTTGAGAATGGTGACGAATTTCAGCAGGTCTGCCGGGAAGTTCCGGTCGTACCAGAGAGGTGAACCGATGGAATTGAGGCAAATTCGCAGGAGGTTCTTCTCTTTGACTTCCGCGTTGGATGGATCGAACTGGGGTTGTGTGGATTTGAGGTGGATGGCGTCCAGCAGGGACTGGAAGTTGGGATTGGTGAAGGCGTTGGTGGGCTTGGAGGGAGGCTGAGAGCCGTCCCAATAGGTGATGTCGTGCCGGGCCAGTTCGGATTCTTCGATTTGTTTGGACAAATCGAAGAAGTGACCGATCTGAGTGCTGGATTTTTGCTCCAAATCGACAACGGAGAGATTGTTGTACCGGAAGGCGATTCGCATCTCCTCCGGGGTTTGTGTTTTGGGAGTCTTGTCCGGTTCGGTGTCCTCCACCGGGGTGGGAAGTTTGTTCATCTAGAAAGCGGGAAGTTGTGATGGGGTTTGATGACTCGTGTGATTCGTACTAACCAATTGCACTGGGTCCTCCTCCAAAGAGGCGACAAACGAAGAATGACTGTTGACTAGCCCCTCGGCTAGGAAGTATTTCGTCAGAACGCGTGAGTAATTTGCATATTTATCCTCCTCTATTAAATCAAACGTAAATCAATCATTTAATTGGAACATTTCCGTATCATTTGAACCAACGGAGAAAACATACTAACCGATAGCAATGATCGATCCAATGGGAAAACCGCCACCGAAAATGTGATCTAACGAAGGATTTCCGGACGACAGGATCGCTTGACCGCTGTGTAGCGAGGCACGTGTTCCCTTGATGGTCACCGCGCCGCGGCGCTTCACGAAACTGGACATCTCTGAATTGGATCACGAAATTTAACAATTTTATTTCAATCGAGCAACCATTGACTTGCACTACCACTTACCGACGAGTGAATCGAATGTAAACAAACACTGAGCATGCGAACGCATCAGCCGACTTTGACAGTTCTCAGTTTTGTTTTGTTTTCATGTTCATGCATGCGCGTGGTTTTGTGCCATTCCATGCAGGCAGACGAGAGGTGAGTATTGAGAACATCATCGTGACGAAATACTGGGAGCGGACGACATCACCTTCTTGAGCATCACGAATCATGTGTGGCTTATGTCTCTGATGAATTATGCAGTTAGTACACAAACCATATGAACATATTCCAATTGGAAAACAAGGGATGGCCGAAAAAAGAGCGATAGTAAAAAAATGTATTAATTCTAGAGTGATTTGAGATTTGGAGGTAATTGAATGTGTAAACAAACACGTCAATCACCGATTTCTCACTTATAAAATCTCAATCTCGAAAGCTAATAACACTATGAGGTAGAGGAATGATTCTTTTATCATTTGGTATAGTTTGATTATGAGATTGTGCTCTTATTCAAGAGAAATCGGCAATTGACGTGTTTGTTTACAAAAGCAGTTACGCGCAAATCTCAAATCACTCCGGCATTTCGAGATTAATTTATTACATCTAGCCTCTGCCATTCACTTGCCTCAGTTTGAGATTTTTCAACTACGGATTATTAATTTCATAAGTTCAATATAGTAATAAGCTATTTTCAGCTTGTGAAATGTCATAGTGATGCATATAAGAAATAGTTGATGTTTAAACCCTATCTAATTTTACACTTTTAAAAGAATTTTAGCGAAAGCTGAACCCTTGAGGTTGAAAATTTCGAACGATTTTATCGTCACGATTGGCATTAAATCTGAGGCCACAAGGACGATCGAAACGCATTTTTCGTTTTTCATACAACCAGTTCTTACGAAATTCTCTTGATTCGGCTTCCCATGATGAGGTCTGAGAAGTAACTCAATATTCAAGATCACTGACAATCGTTCTCATTCAGGGTTGTTAATTGATTGCCGTTCTCATTGCTCTGTTTTGAAAATTCAGCCTTCGCCAGATCGCAACCCGTCCAAATTAAATCCAGTTAGTTAAATCATCACTCACACCCGGTGTTCCAGTCGTCGGGTTGAACTGAACTCTCAACGGAGCAGATAATTAGATTTTAACTTGAAACTCCCCTTAACCACTGACTATATCGATGGCTTCAGGAGTCTTCCCGAAATGATTGGGATTCCAACCGAAACAAGCGGGCGACAATCGTGCCACATATGTTTTCACTGTAGGAAGGAGAAGGACCCCTTCTTGTTTGCTTGTTGAAGAAATTTGTTTGAATAAATCAAAACTAAAATTTTCATTTCAATCGTTCAATGAAACTGACATAAATTTTTGTTTTTTTTTGCTAAACAAAAAAACTGAGCACTGGATGACACTTTCTCAATTTCCGTTTCTTTTCATGCAAGGCATAGTTTATTCGATCCTCGGGGTGACAATTGCCTCACATATGTTTTCGTCAGATATCTCGCTGTACTGGAGATAGAAAATCTGATTACCAATTTAATTTATTTTTAAAGTGAACCGATCATTTCATTTCACTGACATTTTGCTTTACCACCTCGCATTTTCACGGGTCCACATCTGACGATCTACTCGATGTACAGAGTTCAAAATGAATCTGCATATGTGCTGCAGAGAAGCAAGCAACGCGCTTAATTTTCAGATCTGAATGGCTTCTGGCTGGCGAGATTAGTGCCAGTGAAAACGCAAACTGGATGAATTCCGTGAACCTTGTCCTTAAAAAGTTGTCACTTGCTAGAATATCGACACTAGGCTGGCGCCACTAGATGCCTAGTAGGCTTCACTGGTGCGTAGAATTCGGGACCCATGGAAACGGAAGACAATAATAATGACACATGCTCGGATGCCACAATCTCGGAAACCGCCAACAACCCGTCGCAAGGCGTAATCAATCACAGTCAGCAGACCTTGGTTCTACGAGGATGGATTTTTGTCGCCTTGGAATCGGATGTCATTTGAATGTTGGATTTTTGTTTGTTTGTTTGTTGTGATGAGCGCTACAAGCGGAAAGGAGTCCCAGGAGAGGATGAGGCGGTGTTGCAATTCGGCAACAAGTGAGGCCAGTCAAGTGCATGAACTTGGAAGGGTTAAGATCGTTATTAAGGCCGTTCGCAATGCTGAGTTTCAAAATTGTTTTAAGCGACTCGACAATTCAGTGCCAACATTTCAAAGGGGCGTAATTGCTTTTGTAAACAATGGCTTTAGCTATCGATTTGTCGCAAATAAAAGTCCATTCCTCCAAATTAACAATGCTAGTTGGCAAAGGAAACATTCCTCTACCTGCTGGTGTCATTAATCTTCATGAGTAAGTTTTAATTCACGAGAAATTGACGGCTAAAGTCATTGTTTACAAATACAATTACGCCCCTTTGAAATGTTGACACTGAATTCTATAATTTGAAACTGTCAAAAATAAAATTGCAACACGATCAGCGCAACGCACAGTTCTAAAAGATGTTTGTAATCATCATGTTCCATAAACTTTACTGTTTTCATGAAGTTCATAGAGTTTTTTTTTGTGAAGCTCTTCGAAACATCTTTAAATACATCCAAAGAAATTTGAAACAGAGTTCCATTCGTGTTTCAAACTCGCTCATAAATAAAACAGAATAGTCGAGCAGTTGCAAATCTGGTGCAAAATAGTGCTCGAATAATGAAACTGCAACTCTGTGGGCGGACCGAAGCGGACAGAGTTCTCACGGGGCGCAAGCGGGGACACACGTATTACGGCTTCGGAAGGATCAAAAATAAATACGCATGGCACTTCACGGAAGAACAGACGAAACTTTACTATTGTTGTTGTTATGTACACATTAAACATATAGTGTTGCCAGAAGGGCCGTCATGCACATATAAGTGCCATAAAAGTTTATGTATGGGGAGGGGTAACACAATGTAAATACCACAGACAAACAGACATAACTCTCGCAAGTTGTTCATCGAACAAGCATTTAACTGTCAATTTAAAAGTATCGTAGTTGGTAGCACCGCCACCTGTGGCGCACATAGTCATTTCCCTTGAGTTTGACGTTTTCACACTACCGCCATCTGTTCAGCGTACTACCCACCACAGTGTACTCAACAGATGGCGGTAATGTTTTAGCGACGATGTTTTACCAACAATCAATACGAAACTAACGATTTTAAATTGGCTCACCACTTTAGTAGCCTATTGGTCCCAAGCAAACGATTAACGTACCCTATTCTAGTTGAAATTCTATTACTACACTATGTTTGTTTTGATTCGCTATGAAAGTTTGACAGATAACATCAGGGGTGTGTGGATTCATGCAGAACATGCAGGGATGAGTGAAATAGCTTGGGACTGCTTGGGACCGTTGTTCTGGTACTGAGTGAGCCAAAAATAATAATGATTTTCTTCGGGACCCAGTGGTCTTAGAGTTACCTCTATGGTTTTACAGTGGGAAATATTCAATGAGTTATGTCTGTTTGTCTGTGTAAATACCTTCAAACTCAGCATTGCGAGAGGTGCGTTTCTGTTCTAGTTACAAATTGAAACAGTCCTTATAAAATACAACAGCATTGCGAACCGCCTAAGGAGTACAATGCAACAAAACAGGACCTTTCGGGTGCCATCGCGAGCAGGAACGAATGTCTTGATACCTCAAATCGGTTAAGATTAGTGTGTGTATTTACATTCTAACTCCCACTGACTGGCAGTGGCATTATGAATAGAATCCTCCTGCAACCATCTTTTATATAAATAATTACAAGAAGCTTAAATTCGGGAGTTAGAAGGTGTCAGCTCTATTATAGAGGTAACTCTAAGACCAGAAGGTCCCGAAGAAACGAGCTCAACTTTTTGGCTCAGCTCTGGTACTATCTTCGGTCCCAAGCTAATCGATGCACCCCTCGAAACATAGGAAAATCCACGAACCCCTCATTTCATCTGTCAAACTTTCATAGCGTATCAAAACAAACATAGTGTAGTACCAGAATTTCGACTAGAATGGGGTACGTTAATTGATTTGCTTGGGACCAATAGGCTAGTCAAGTAGTGAGCCAATTTCAAATCGTTAGTTTCGAATTGATTGATGGCTCTATCGCCACTCCAAAAGCCCATTTCAAAAACGCAAGAATTCCGAAGCTATTTTCGTATACGATAAGCCCCGCTCCAATACATGTCAATGTGGTAATCATTAATAATGTATTGGAACTTTCAATTAAGCTGTATTGCTTGATTAACACGTATTTAATGAGTTGGGAATATTTGTAGTATCACTAGTACTAGTACTTGGAAATTAAGTATGGAAATATTCTAAAGGACAAAATGGAACGAACTCACCAAATCTGGCCAAGTGAACCCAACAAACTGGCCTGATGTGTTAGAGGGGAATTCGCAATTGTAAACGGTTCGCTTCACGGGGTAATCCGGTTTGTGGTAGAGCTTGCACGGAATGTCCCGAATGTAGTCTTGAAACACCTCTTGGCCGTCTGACACAATCCGAATACTGTGAAACTCGATTCTTGAAATTCAAGTATCCGTTGGTGCCCATTATCACTTTACTGGTAAAATAAATCCTAAAATTTGACGGGAGGAAAATTTTTTGCATCCATTTACAAGCACAGGTTAATACTAAGATTAAGATTAGTATGACACAATATCATTCCAATATAAAATTATGCAAATACAATACCAAAACGATACCATGGGCCGCTTCATTCATATTAACGGGATTCTTTTTTACTTTGAACTTCTACCAACCCTATAACCCTGGTAGCCTTATTTCTAGACAAACAGATAACAGCGCCAAACGGTTTTTGACGAGACAACGTTGAACTGCTGCGTAGAAAACACGCACACCAACATCTATACATGTACGAACCCACATATCTGAGCGGACGGTACAGCGCAAATCAAAACACGAAGCGGTGTCATCACTCATCGTAATCATTCAGCTTCGGCTACTCTCGTTTGCGTTTGTTTTTACCGGTGTTGTC